TTGAGAAGTCTAAAAAGCTGTCTGAATAAAAACTGTTTAAAAAAGCCTATGTAGCTTTTTCCAAGGAGTTCTTTTGTATGGGCTCAGACTCTGGGGTGGGTCTGCTGAAATTAATGATGTATTGCTAATACAAATACCCCCGCCGCAGCAAACCTGCCGACTAAGCGAATTTCCATTTGTCTGAATTGATTTTCAATTAAATATATTTTAATAACATTAGGTTTACCGAGTACCTAGGTTTGCTGCTACAAGGAAACTAATAAAGTGTATTTTTTAGTAAAATATTGATAGCTTAGTACAAAATGAATAAATTTTCCAAGTTTGAACAAAATATATCCATACACAAGCAAACTACAACATTTGACAATATTCTCCATAAGAATAACATGGGAATTTTAAATTTTTTTAATTTTCTCCGTTACTAATAACCGAACAAAAATACTTTTATATACTAAATTATTTGTTTTTTTAAGCTCTCCCAAGTAGCACAAATATGTATATAATACGTATAATTTAACTACCGGCATGGTATAGCTTTTGTATACAATCTGTATAGAAATGTATCTGTATTGTATCTGTAAATATGTCCCACCTAAATATGTATTATTTGCATATTGTATAAGGATCCAACTACAGATATGATACATATTATACATCTGTATATAATCTGTAAATTTTGATAGAAATTGATGCATACCTTAAATGTATAAAATACATATTTTATATATAGATGATACATATTTGATGCCATATTAATAAAAAGTGGCTCAAAATACAATTGTCATAAAAATCAATATATAAAATTATATACATTGATTTTTACTAACAGTTTTCTTTGAAGGCATTTGTTATGGGAGGTGAACTATGTGTCATGAGGGTTGGTGTGTTGTATGATGGTAAAACAATATTTTAAGTCTTCATTAGAAATATATGTTTTGTGATTTGTCAGGTAAATACCTAATTGATCTAGTTTAGGGACAACCTACTGCTGTTCAGCAGTTTCATCTGAAGCAGGCACGTAGGACCTCGGGGTACTGATTACATCCGAAGCTCCTAAGGTGAACCAGAGGGGCCCTAGTGAAAGTCTAGAAGGGGAAAGAGCACCTATTACAGTTACTACATCATTACAATACAGTATGCAAAATGTAATGTTATATTGTTGGTGTAGGCTAGCTATCAGCATTTATTTTCATATCATAATCAAACCAAAGAATGAGAGAATTATGCAATTTTTATAGACTTCCTTAAAAATGGTAGCAGCCACAAAAAAACAAATGATTTTACCTTTAAAGAATATGTGTTTTAATGAAGTAGGGAAGATAAAGAATATGGCAACTACCTTAACAAATATTAGACCAAGACAGCTTTAAATTTTTTGAGCGGAGCGAGCGAAGCTCTTATACGTCGAATTTTATGCATTTTGTAATACGCAAACTCCTCCTAGACGGCTGAATCAATCGTTTTCAAATTTTGGATGGTGATAAAGACCATATCGGTGAGTGCCAACATCTATATGGCGTTAGAAATAACTCTCAGAAATCCGCCCCACTGGGTCTCAAAGTTTCAATGTAATCCTTATGGAAACAGTATTTGACACATAAACAAAGACATATGATCAGCTGTTGACTTTTGAATGCAGTAGATAAATAAATAACTGATAGCATTATTCCCACAGATATTAGAACATAAACGGTGGTATGGATCATAAAATAATCAAATGACGACACTAGCTTGAGGTGCGTGACGTAGGAAGTGTTAAAGGAAGTACTAAAGGTGAACAGTCTGGAGTGTGGAAACTGTTTATGACGATTAGATTTAGGTATCTGCATTCCTATTAAATATAAATTATAAGGGAAGGGAGGAAAACGGGTCCGCGACGTAGGAAGTGATGAAGGAAGTAGTCAAGGTAAGCTGTCCGGAGTGTGGGAACTGCTTATGACCATTATATTAAGGTATTTGCAATCCTATGATGCTATGGGAAGAGAGGGAAACATGTCCACGATGTAGGGAGGAAAACGGGTCCGTGACGTAGGAAGTGATGAAGGAAGTAGTCAAGGCAAGCTGTCCGGAGTGTGGGAACTGCTTATGACCATTATATTAAGGTATTTGCAATCCTATGATGCTATGGGAAGGGAGGGAAACATGTCCGTCACGTAGGAAGTGGTGAAGGAAGTAGTAAGGCGAGCAGTCCAGAATGTTGGAACTGTTTATGACGATTAGATTAAGGTATCTGCAATCATAAAATGCTATGGGAAGGGAGCAAAACGGGTCCGCGACGTAGGAAGTGATGAAGGAAGTAGTCAAGGCAAGCTGTCCGGAGTGTGGGAACTGCTTATGACCATTACATTAAGGTATTTGCAATCCTATTAGCTATGGGAAGAGGGAAACATGTCCACGATGTAGGGAGGAAAACGGGTCCGTGACGTAGGAAGTAATGAAGGAAGTAGTCAAGGCAAGCTCCCCGGAGTATAGGAACTGTTTATGACAATTAGATTAAGGTATCTGCAATCATAAAATTTAATGGGAAGGGAGAGAAAAGGTCCAAGACGTATGAAGTGGTGAAGGAATAAGTAAGGTGAGCAGTATGTAGTGTGGGAAGTGGAAACCGTTTGTAGCAGTTAAATTAATGTATCTGCAATGCTGAAATTCTATGAGAAGGGGTGGAAGCATCCCCACGACATAGAAAATGGTGGAAGAAGTAGTAAAGGCTAGCAGTGCGGAGTGTGGGGAATGTTTGTGGCAATTATATTAACGTATCTAAAATACTAAATTGCTATGGAAAGTGATGAAGACAGATCCACGATGTAGAAAAAGGCTTAGAAAGTAGTAAAGTATGAGCATAGTGTGAAAACCGTCTGTGGCAGTTAGATTGATGTATCTTTAATCCAAAAATGCTATGGAAGGGATATAGAAAATGTAGAAGGGAAGGAAACAAGTCTATGACGTAGGAAATGGTGAAGGAAGTGTTAAGGCTTGCAGAGAAGAGTGTGGGAACTGTCTTTGGTAATTACATTAATATATCTGCAATCCTAAAATGTTATGGGAAGAGAGGGAAATAGGTCCACGACGTAGGGGGTGGTGAAGGAAGTAGTAAAGGTGAGCGTGTTAAGTGTGGGAATGGATTAATGTATCTGCAAAGCTAAAACGCTTTATGAAGAGACTGTAGACTGTAGGTTAAAATAATTTCGATGCCCGAATCGATACATATTTTAATACATGCAATTGTTTATAATAGAAATTTACAACTGAGTTGACAACAGCTGATTTTTACTCCATAGAGGATAAAAACTATTTTTACTCCATTGAGGATAAAAACTTTTTTTACTTCCTAAAGAGTAAAATTGCTACTTTAGACCCGCAACGCATGCATTAAAAACGACTGGTATTAGTGCAGTATGACCAAAACAATATAATATAAACCCTTGATGACTCCGCTCAATTTTGTGGATGCCTCTGCGAACGCCACCTAGTTTAATTATCGTACATTGAAGATTATTTGAGAAAAACTTATTAAATTACCTTGTTGAGAATAGGTACCACTTAACAAGCATTTTGGATAGTGCATTTATTTGCATAAAAAAGTAAATAATAATATGTTAATTATTATATTAGTGTTTATATTACCAAGCATTATTCAGCTGATAATCTATATCTATACTATTATATAAAAATCTAATGGTGTCTGTCTGTATGTGTGTTACTAATAGGTGCAAAAACTACTGAACCAACTGGGCTTAAATTAAACAAAAATATAGCTACCATACCAAGGACCATTATAGGACTATTCACATTTTGATATTGACCGTAGGCTTTGCCCCTTTGGCTTTAAAAGTTCTGAGGTGAGGATTTTAAAAGTAAATATTGATTGGTCTCCATGGCTGCGATTAGAACCCTTATAATGTTTGTTTACATTTGCTTTGACATTTCAATGTAAACAAGAAGAACGCTAAATTGCATATTTCACAATTTCAAACAGCTGATACAAAGAAGTTAAATATAATATTTTCCATGACTATGAGGTAGGTTTATTTTAATCTAACGTTTTATCATGGATTATTTATTCGAAAACTGTCAATGATTATAGAAAATAAAAGATTCTATAACCGTTGCTGTATCAACTCCGGTTGTGCTTTGGATTTTTAAAGCGTCTAATTTATGAAAATAATGTTATTGATATGTTTTCATGGAAACCGTATGAAAATTACAATGTATAGATGTTTCGTATGAATTTGGAGGCTGCTTTAACGGGTGTTCATACGGGAGGGACGATGGCTAAAGGTGTAGTGACGTCATATCTCTAGTGGCTAATGTCTTCTCTTGAGGCAACACGATTACCGTAACGAGACGATGTGATTCCAGTGGCGTTCTTAGGACATAAAAGTTGAATTTTGTTTCTATTAGCATTGGCGGATGTGTAACTATTATATGCAACAGATGTAAAGATTAAAATGTTTCTATTTTGTGTCCTCTTCCCGTTGCAAAGCACGGGTACAACAGCTAGTAATTAATAGTAATAACTAGCTTGAATGTTAAGAAGATTAAGTTGAAATAGTTTAGAAAAATAACCTATTATTAATAATAATACATTATGATTATAACAACTGAAAGTGTAAAAAAAAATACTAACTCACTTCTCACAACTGATGAATAATTTCTAGTTTTTTTAACTGAATCTTATTCTTATATGAAAATGTTGTTTTTTTAGTTTTCCATTTTCCCTGTTGTTTATTTAATGTGAGAAAACAAGAAGGCTAGGCTCAACAAATAATAATAGATTTTGTAGTAACTTTTTAGACCTATTCTAAATTGTGCACAAAAAATACTTGCACAATAAAAAAACAAAAAATAAATGCACAAAAATACAAAAAATGAGTAAAAATATTTGTTCAGATGTAATCACAAGTACCCTAATACATTCAAGTATAAAAGTTGTTTTTATAAAATTGTTTCTGTTGTTTATTAACACACTTTTTAAAGGAACATATAAACGAAACAATGAAGAAATGTCAAGAAAAAACTATTTAATTGATAATCTGCGGTAGGCCTAAATTTTTATTTTTGACATAAATCCTTGTTCCTGCTTGGCGTAACCATTCGCTGGTTTTTTTCTCAAACGTTGTGAGATCGAATGAGGACGGGTGTTGTTGACGAACTACACCTGAAACAAAATTCACACTTGCGTCAATGTCTGTATTCCTGTGTATAAGGTAATATTAGGGTAGGCACAAGATTCACGCTTAGAGCAACATATCTTTTTAATCAATCCTTTGTTTTCTTGATGGCAAAACTTAGATTAATTCATTTTTAACGTTTTCATTTTTAACATTTTTTTAACACGTTTAGTGCTGACTACATCAATTGATGTAGTCGCGACACGAGCGGCCTACATCAATTGATGTAGTTGCGCAACCCCCACTACATTAGTTCAGTATGCGCTCAGCCATTGCCGGGGAACGTTAAAATCGTTGCTAGCCCGTAGCTTATAATGTAAGCTTTATTTTGGTGTAGGTTGGTACTAAAATTTCCCGTAAAATCCCGTCTGACGATGCTTTTGTACCGGTTTTGGGGATTTTCTCTCTTCAAGCCATATTACAAAGCCACTGACTACTGATCCAGGCAGTGCTGCTACCTTTGGGTGTTTTAGGGAACTACTTTCAACCTCGGGGTAACGTAGTACAATCGCCGCTGCTCTTTTGTTTTTCGTCAGATTGAAATATTTGAATGCCAATTGCGTTTGCTGTTGGTACGGCACCGCGCCGGGGCTTCGCCGCCATTGGCGAGCGCCTGTTGGAATGCCTGCCGCACTGAACGTGTTAAGCAAAATCGTTTCTTTTTGAGCTAATAGTTATTTGTGTAACTAGTGGTGAAAGTGGCACTTTGCTGCACACGAGAGCAATGTTTACGCACGAGCCGCAGGCGAGTGTGGAATGATCTCGAGTGCAGCAAAGGCCTTTTTCACTCTTGTTACACATTATATTTTTCCTACAGTCACTATAAAGCATAAATAATTAGTCTTTCAAACACTATGCAACACGTTTTTAGGTTCAGCTGGCAACACAAATGGTGCCCTAGAGAAAGTAGTACCCGCGGTCCATATCACTCCGCTATTTTTCCTCAGCAAGAAATGTGCTCCGCGTTTTGAGAATATAGTTCCGTATGTTTTTGTAATTTGAAGTGGTTTCCGCGCCTAAAAAAATGCTTAAAAGGTATTTTCTTGTTTATTAAGATCGTAGGAAGGTTTTAAAAACGTTTAAAAGAAAAGTCCAGAAAGTTCAGAAATACCAAAACTATAAACACGAAATGACAGGTTAAATCGTAGTTATAATAGTCAATCAGCTGCTCATAGTATAATTATCTTTAAGTGTTGCCAACCTATTTCCAAGCGTACACGGATTACGTGCATAATGGAACCACGCTGTTTTGTGTTGTTTCGTTGGAATCCTGATGTGCGGCAAAGTATAAACCGTACGGAAAAGTATAAACCGTACGGCAAAGTATAAATATGCAGCAATTAGCAGCTTTCTGTACTATAAACAGTACAAGGAAGCCAACTTTGTCGGGTGACTGTAGGAAAACTAACAAGTTGCAATCAAGAAATCAAAGTATTGAAGAGGTTTAAAGAGTACAGTGCAGAAAAAAAGGATAGGTACGGTACATTCTACAGACAAAAAATGTGAGTAACATCATAAATTAATATCATATAGCCTATGATAATTAATTATAAGATGATAAATTAATATAATTAAAATCCATTGATCTAGCCCCTGAACCTTTTTATTGACTAATAATTAGTACGTAACTTTACGCCATACTGCTAAAAATGTATGTAAAGAATAACAAGATGTTTCGCCAGAATGGCATTTTCAAGTGGGGGTATGAAGTAAATGTAGGCTACTGTATGACGTATATGTACATACCAATTATTAGTTAAATAATAAAACTTATGATGGTAAAAACAGGGTTAAAAAATAAATTACTTACTTTGGTTGAGTTGACTTTATAGAAAAATAAATAAATGTCAAATATAGGCCTATCATTGAAAGAATAAATAAAAGTAACATTATAAACCAAATGTTAAAAACTTACGGCAAATCAACTGCACCAATGCAGAGTTCTGCAGACTCCACTTCTTTCCTCCTCTTCCTTCCCAACTAAATTCTCTCGCAAGCTCATTTTTGAATAGTCTTACAAGGATCCGTCTTGTTGAGTCCTCAACACTGGCCCCGCCAACCGTGCGAAGATAACTGACCTGAAACACATTATAAAAATGCTTAACTCTTCAACCTCTATTACTATTATATTAGTTTAACAAGTCTGGTGTTTTATAAAAAGCTTTTTTGTTTAAAAGTACGGTATGTTATTATTTTGGAGTCATACCTAGGTCCACCGCGGTCAATCTCCCCCACGCTAGTTTCCGCAAGGTCTGCGGCCGGCGGAGCATGAGACCAACAATCCCTCCCACTTGCCTCTGAGTCGCACAGTTTGGTTTGGCCGACCTAACCAAACGGTGCGGCGGACAACTGGAGACTACTTCACTCGTAACTACGCCTGCAAAATGTAGGATACTTTACCAAAACACTGCTGTATTGCGGGCTGACTAATGAGACCGTTTTCTGTAAAGTAGTACAGTAACTGTACAAATTACCGAACACTTGCTTGGCTACAAAAAATAATTATTCAATTTTATCTATTCCATGATTATTAATGGTTTGGAAATCCATACACCACTTTACTTACTAATATTAATGGTACAGATTAAGCACATAACATTAGAATGATAATTCACTTTAAACACAAATGCAAATTGTTAACGACAACATTTAATTAAAGACAAATCAATCAAATAACAATAAGCCGTTTAATTATTAACACAAAAGGTTTCGTATGATTAGATTATTCATACTGATAAACCACCTATGGCCATCTATAATAATATTTGGGTTTTCTTTTCCGAGTCGGGTTAGCTCTTCTACTCGACCGATTTTCATAATAATTTTGGCCTCAAACTAAAGGTATGGACGCACTACAGATTTGCAATCAAGAATCGGCATTCATTTTTATTTACGTATATTTCGAGATGTGCACAAAATGTGTCCCTGTACATTTCTTATGGGAGTTAAATTAGTTTTTTTTCAAGTTCGTTTGGCTCTTCTGCCCATCCCATTTTCTTCATTTTGGTCTTAAAATAAAGTTATGCAAGCAAATATTTGTGATCAAACATAATCATTAATTTTTCTAATGTATTACCCAACGAAAAAATTTATTTTTTTTTACTTCAATTAAAGATGTATTTCAGCAGCTCTAACTAAATTACCCTATATGTTTTGGTCTAAAAACCTTTAGTGAAATACCAGCTTTCATTTGAGCTATTAATTATTAAGATTCCGATCTTAATAATCGTACCTAAAGCACTGTTTTAATCCGTTAACTTCAAGATACTGTATCGCTCAATCAGAAAACATAAATTTGATTATATCTTGGATGTGGAATTTAGTTTGTGATATTTTTACTCAATTCAAATTACGTTATTCTATTTGTTTTGACCTAAGAACCTTCAGTGAAATACCAGCTTCCATTTGATTTATTGATTATTAAGATCGGACGTACCTAAAGGACACACCTAAATCACGAACAACACAAATTGTTCAAAAAATAGAGTTATTTATCATCGATTTATAGTCAAACGATCTTGCTTGCAACCTCAACAGTAACTGTCGACTTTGACGGGTTTCATCTAGTCAATCTTTAAAAAAATCTAACTTTCATAATTATTTGCAAATCTACACAAATTAGGCTTACCAATGACCTATTAATTAATAAAATCGGTTTAGTAGAACTGTAGATTTAATTGTACAAAGTTTAACAACAACATCTTTCATTCAGTATTTTCTCACCACTATAAATTGGGAGGTTGCTTAACGTTTTTGAAAATAGAGTAACTTTTAAATGGTGAAGAAATCGACCAAGTGGACAGTGATATTCTTGATAGAGAATAAAATTTCCTACAAATTACTATCATGTATTTCCTGAAAATACTCAATAAAGACAGTCTAAAGTTGGCTACAAATATAAACTTGGAAAAAAGGCGTTTTAAATGTATTATTGTTTATTTTCATTTTTTCTCCTCAAAAAGTAATAAAATCACACTTTCATAACTATTTGCAAATTTACACGAATTAGGCTTTCCAACGATTAAGTAACAAAATCAGGCAGGAATTTTAAATTTTATGATTTTTACATAGATTTGTTTTTCTAACAAAATATATGGATGAAGTATAATTTAAAACATGCTATGTAAATTAATGGTATGTTTCGGGAATAAATAGTTTTATTTTAAAACGAGCTGTTGGCCCGTCCTACGTACGGAAATCGAGCAGTCCATTAAAATTGTATATAGTTATATCAATATGTCTATTCCTAATTCAAGCATAGTTTAAGCAGTTCAAAGTTTATTGTAAAGAAAAAGCTACCAAGATTAATTAAAACTTTGGTCGCTGTTACTTTCCCAACCTGTCCTCAAAAATTCGGGTGGTAAAACAATTTTCATAAGCTTTCTTTTGAAGTCTCGTGAGCTTCGATTCGTATAAAGCAATGGTTAAAGAATCTTACTTAATTTCTATAATCAATGACAAAATCACAGAGTAAATAAACTAACCTCATAGTTCTTAGAATATTTGTATATTCAACCAGCTGTTAGTTATAACAAATTATATTGCACTAAAACAAACTAAAGATTTTATAGACTGTTAAAAAATTAAATTAGAACATCTATTATTTTAATTTTACTTTGTATATTTAAATTATCTCTCGTCCTCTAACCGAATAAATAAACGTATCAATTATTAAAGCATTACACATAGCATATAAAGTCAACCCTACGTATGTCATTTCATTTTCATCCAAATGCTGAATTTTTGTCGAAAACGCTGATTGTTTACAGCTGTTACGTTAAGCAAATTGTATTATACCAAAACCTAGAGTAGAATGTTAGCGTCGGCTGCTGGACTTGTTAAAATTTTAAACTTAACTAAAAAAAAACTGAAACCCTAAACTAAAATTGTGGCTTCGACATTCCCTAGTTCCCAAAATTGGCTTCTTTAAAATCTTTCTTTCAACGCAAAAATGATGAAAATCCGTCAAGTGGTTGATTCAGAATCGTGAAATAAAAAAAAACCTGTTACGTTTTAATATATAAGATAACGTACACATTTTTGTAATATTCCTGGAATTAGTTTGGGTTTTAGCGAATTTCCCTATAGGGAAGTAGCTATTACCGTAGGTCTCATGGTAAGACCTAAGCCCAGGACCGATTTACTTTTTCATTTTGATGTCCCCAGAGGCCAAAAACACCATTCGTTCAAATTTTTATATATCTATATATAGATATATATATATATATATATGTGTCCATCCGCACGATAACTTGAATAATTATTGTCCGATTTTGATAAAATTTGGTTTGAAGGTGTAAGGCGGGATAAACTTGAATGAGTTCGCGAACCAGCATGATCGGACTATGGGAACGGGGGTTTATGGGGGGTTTTATGGGGTAAAAATAGGTTTTTCCCATTTTTGACCCTAAAAACACAAAATTTTACAATTTCTTTTTAAACCATTTTGTAGAGCTTAAAAAAACAAATAATTTAGTATATTGAAGCGTTATTACGTGCCTAATTGTTATGGAGAAAATTCAAAAAAATTGTAATTTTAAAATTCCCATGTTATTCTTATGGAGAATAAGTCAACTGTTGTAGTTTGTTTGTTTATGAACATATTTTGATTGATTTTGGAAAATACTTTTATTTCTTACTAAACTATTTTCATTTTATAAAAAAAATCTTTTTTACCCTCCCTGTTGCAGCAAACCTAAGTACTCGTTAAACTAATTCTATTTAAATAGGAAATAAATGAGCTATTTTTATGAAGGCATTTTAGTGTAAATCCAATCAGGTCGATGGAAATTCGCTTAGTCTGCAGGTTTGCTGTGGCGGGGGTATTTTTTTGAGTACTGAATTCAAAACATTTAAAGTTATGCGTTAAGTGTCATAGTTGAGCGGGCCACAATAATTCTGAATGAGGAAATAATTAGAAAAAGGAGTAAGATTGTAATAGGTTTTTAAATTGCTTAACGCAGGCAATCTACTGAATACACGGGTTATTATAATTGTTCTGACTGAAAATTTGTATACACGTTTTCATTGATTTTGGTTTCATTGAACGGAATTAGAAAACAACGTGCAGTTCTTGATGCAAACTTAATAATAGAAATGGCAATGAGAATGGTGAGATGTTTAATCATAATCAATTCAGACTATTGTAGCCCATAAGTTTACATGAAACATAGTTCAATATACATTATAATCAAACACGTAAAATGTTTGGTTACTCCACTAAGTGTCATTTTTCAACTATAAGTTCGAAATTAGGCATTAACCGTTAACCATGAACAATAATAAAAGTAAAATAGTTTCTTGAAGAGGATTGTGGACGACTCCCAGCAACTGTTTAAAACTGTTTTAAGCTAAGTTCCATTTTAACAAACTTAACACTAAATATAATTCTATCTTGAAACACAGTAATGAAAAATCATTTAACAATACTCTCTTAGTAGCAAAAGATAGACATACAATATGGGGTTTCTCCATATATCAACACACAATGATAAAGTAGGCACATAAAAGGTGGCGAATTAGACTTGCGAGGGGATACAAACAAAGAAACGGTATTTAGGGGTGCTTAGCCTGATGAAATGGACGATGCGGCACGACATGCAACACACGCGTGTTGTGGCTATTTAATTGGCAGACGTGCAGTCAAGGGCGGGTACGACCCTCGTGTGGATATTGTAGGGAGGGGGGGGGGGTAATGCAAACGTGGTGGAATTGGTATCCGTGAAAGGTATACTGGTGAGAGGGGAAATGGTGCTTTTGGATTTTAAATGCTTTGTTGTTGTGGGATTTGTTTTTGTTTTAATGAAAATGTTTGATGTTATTTTCGTGGTTATATCTGTGATTTTGGATGTTATTTAATGTACTGCGTTCTATGAGGAATACTTAATTTGACTAATAATGTTATATCTAAAGAGATTGTTTGGCAGTATCTGCTTGGAGTTGTGGTACCTCAACTTGTTATAGTGGTTAGATTCGTTGGGAAGCGATACTTTGCTTTGTGGAGGAGAGGAATGGATTATTCCAGTAAATAAATGTTTGCAAAAGTTAACCAAATAATAAATTTTAGCAGGATGTACCTAAATGAGATTTTCAGCCTCAGTATTGTGTAGCTGATTAGAACTTTACTAATTACTAGTTCAATGGTTTTAACGCCAGAATGGTCACATTAAACTACAGGGAGATTCATATGTATATACACAACTGTAATTTGATGTAGCTCGCCAAGATATCATGCCAGTTGTATCCAACTATGTCAAATTAAAGGCAAATTAATGAGGTTTCATGTATACAGATGATCATTGTTGCGGCTTCAGTCAAAATTTCAGGCGTGTCAAGTATTGAGGATAGTGCTAGGACTGCTGCTATATATGGGGGGTTTCGTTCAGTTGTGGTTGTATAAAGATGGTGGAGACGTGTAAAAGGGTTACTCGGACCTTTACATTCTAGACCAGAAACAGTCTTCATTAAAAGTTAGTGGAAAGGCAAAAAAAAGGTCTTAGACAAACAGAAATCTGGGCGAGCACGTGTTTCCGTCACCGAAGAAATGTAAAATGTATCAAACAATGTAAATTGCATTTCTTAGCTCTTATTTTTTTGAAAAAATAAATTGTGTATATACTTATTAATCACCCTGTACTTAGAATGGTTTGAAACTGTACCTAGCTCTCCTCTATCATTGGGGTTTTAACAAATGATACTAGACAAACAGCTCGTCTTAGTTCAAAACATATGATCGCCCTCATTCTACTGTCATACTCAGCAATATGTACAAAAAATGTTACGCCTAATTTTTTATTTAAGGGATTAAGTGTGGATTCTAAATAAGGGGGAAATACTTACGTACAAACGTTCAAAAGCGACCCCTTGGTAATAATTAGTTTATACATATTTTTTTGATACATAATATATTTCGTTGACGTTTTTTCCCCGTGTTCTATCGCATGAAAAATTAACTCAGCGTATAACAGATATTTGTCTTAATCGTGCTAGTATTTCCCTATGTCTGCGGCTACAGAATGACCGCACATCACACCACTATGGCCAGGGAGGTTACGTCGTAAGCCTTATTGATTGGCCGGCATGCAGCTAACAGAGCTGCTAACAGCTTAACCTCCAGTTGGAAAATCGTTGGTGCTTTATTCTTAGTTTTATTTAAAGTCTTAATCGAAACACCCTGATTGACCCTCCAGCAGAACTCAGCCAATTTAGTTTTCAATTCACATTACAAGTTAGTTAAAGTTACCTTCAAATCCAACATTTACGATTGAAAACCTTTCAAAACATGTTTATGCACCAAAGGTAAATTGGATTAGGATAACTGTATAAAAATATCAGTCCAGGATTGTATTTTTTGGAAAGATCCTACAGCTGAACTAACTTCTCGAATAACTTGATTGTAAATATTGGATATATTTGGAATATGCGTGCATGTCTATAAGATAAAGTTCATACGGTATTGAGCGTCCGATATTCTGTATCTTTCTATAGTTTGGCCAAGCGTAGAACTTAGTCGTTGAAACTTAGTTGATTATATAGAAACATGTTTGTATAAAGAGATAATAATTAATTATACGTTTTATGGCGGTGGTGGGATATCCTCTCTCCAATACCGAGGTATAGTAGTTATAGCTGAAGGGCTTATCTTTTCTTTTCTACAGATTAAGGTGGGCTCCGAACCACCAAGCAGTGGCATTATTACGCAGATAATGCTAAGGTTGGTAAATGAGAATTAACGTGCTCCAACAATAAGAAAAAGTATAAAATTAAGCACACAACCTGTTATGGTCAACTTTTAACCGTATACTTCTTACCATACCTAACTAACTGTGTATTGTTAGGGATAGGTAGCTTGGTGTATTTATAGTTAGGGTTTTATACATCTTCAAATATTGTATTAAATGACTGTTTTTACAAGTGAGTAGTTACGATCCAAGCAAACCCAAAATTGTTTCAATACAATTGTGTTCAAATTCTCCAACTTTAGAGAACTCTATCGCATATTGAGAACTTCCTAAAGGCAACTGACTATAAAACGGGTGTTTCTACGCAATAGATCAGTACAAGGTTAAGGGTAAATATTATGTTCATTGTAAATCATTCAAATTTTACAATTTGCGATATTGTAAATTTCCCCCGTTTCACCTATTCTATACAGTTTTGCATCAAGATATCCATATTTAATCAATTTCCCCCAGTTTTCACCATCTACGTCGTTGACAGCTGAGTCAACAGATTTTCCTTCTCCTCAAGGGCTCCTTACCTCTCGAGGCGAACCTAAGCGTTGCCCTGGCAACCGCTTGGGAATTTATCCTGGCGCCGAGCTTTGTGAGCGAATTCGTCCTACAATTTCTTTCCAAACCGCTGCCGGGTGAGAATCCCAAACTCCTTCCAGATTTCCAGTTTTCAAATAGACTTCCACTGTCATTGCTGTAGAATAAATTCTTGCTGTGATATCTTATATGATAGCGCGATAGCCTGGACAGCTTGGTGAATCTTATGCTATAACATTTTCTGTGAAACCAGTCAAATACATCGGTAATTGTTCTTAGTGCTTCTATGCTTTTGGCAAGCGAAGTTAGTTAGACTCAAAATACCGTACTAATGAAACAATAAAGTAGTATCTCTTCCTTACTACTTTCCAAATACACAAAAGCATCCTGGAATTAATTTTCCTTGAAAGGCACACTTTCGTTGAATAGTAGTTAGATCGTATAACTAGTGATGTGGGCCGGGTAAATACCCAGTGGGTAGGTAAATATAAATTGGGTATTTACCTGGGTATTTACCCCAGGCCTGGGTAAATACCCAAAAACTGGGTATTTATAATTTTTATTAAAGTTAGAGAAGATTGAGATGTTTTTTTGCAATTATTACCCTGTAAGGATAGTAAAATGATGATAAAATGTGTTGAAAAAAATTTCATATGGTCACTACTAGCATTTTACTTCTGGGTACAATCGCCATAAATACCCAGGTCTGAGCATAAAGCATAATTGGCATAAATACCCTGGTCCCATGGTTGCACTGGTCCTGACTACTTATGATTTTTTAATTTCTATGCTAGATAGATGAATTTATTTTATTGAAAGTGAAAAAAAAATAATTTGTAAAGTAATAATTATTATTTAGAAAGACAAGGAAAATTTAACCTAGTAGTGGCCTATGTGTCAACTTAAGAAAATAATTAAAATTCAATCCGTAGGATGGCAGGATTTAATAATATTTTTGTTCTAGACAATTTGTTGGTAGGCCTATCAATGGTATCAAAATAAAAAAACTAATTTCATAAACTTGTGATACAAAACATTTGAATCTATAGCACAATAAATCTTTCAACAATTCCTGGATATTTATAAATAAAAATAATTTTGTTTATGTTATTTAATTGGTTATAAATTTATAAAATGATAAAAATTGAAATAGCCACAGCCTTTTTTTAATATACTATTTTTTAGTAAGTTAAATATAACTGATGTTACTCGATTTAAGACACAAAACCCCATGCTTATTGAGAAACTTTCTGTATTATAAAAAAAAGGGTGCTAAATCATTAAATAAAAGGAAGCCTACTAGCAAAGCGTCAAGTTACTGTAAAAGGTGTTATAGACTATTCTAATTAATCATGTAATGATAACAATAACATATTAAGGGGTAAATATAAATGAATTTCAGTCGATTTCATAAATACCCAAAATACCCGGGTATGGATTTTGGGTACTTACCCGGGTAAATACCCAGGGTACTTACCCGGGTAAATACCCAGGGTATTTACCCCGAGTTTTAAATACCCGGGTATTTTACATCACTACGTATAACTTATGTCTAAACGCTTGCCAATGTGGATACTATGTGATCTTATACTGAACAAGGATAGGTCTCTGAGGACTGAGGCTATGTATTGGAGAACCTTCTTTTAAAGCTATTTATTCATCGTAAAATGCTATCATGCGAGTTCAGAGACATGTTTTATGGTTATCTTTAAATCATACAGCTAAATAGCGACCTTTGTGACCTTTCATAAGATGTTTTATAAAATTACTTCTAGATCAGAACACACAAGAAAAACAAAAAGTATAATTTTTTCTTACGTCATGTTGGAAGTACAGTAGTAGCCAGGAAAATCCATTTTATTTGTAATAAAAAAAAACATATTGATCAACTTGTATTCCCAAATAAACATTCAACATAACTTAAATTCAACTAATCGACTTCAAAAACTGTTACGGTTAAACTTATAAAGCATCCAATTTTCAAAACAAGAACCGATATTGAAACGTTGAATTAATTAAAATACACTGACATTTATACAGCTAAAACAACAGATTGGAAGAACTGTATTAAGTTTCGTATAATATCCAGCATTTTTCCAGTGATGGAAATTAGTTGGAATGAATTATGAATCGGTGGGCGGAAAGTTATAATTGACAGCGCAGCTAATATCTCGTTCACTTGTTGCTACCCTTAGGTGAAGGACGCTCTCTGCCAAATAGGAGTTATTAGTTCGATTTTCTGTGTCAACATCCCTTCTATCTTTTGGAGCAAGTTTCAGGAAAAGGTCACATTGTATCTTTGTGTCATTTTAGCGAATTTCCCAAATAGGGAATAAGCTATTACCGTAGGTTTCATGGTAAGACTTGGACCCGGGACCGATTTACTTTTTCATTTCGATGTCCCTAGAAGCCAAAAACAACATCCGTTCAAATTCATATAACATGTTTATGGTGTTTGTGCTTGTTTAACCTAATGTTACCTATTTGAAGAGATTTAATTTAAAATCAAATAAAATAAGATTCAATCATTGTCAGCAGATGTTCAGTAAATAATTCAAAAGATCACGGAAAATTGTGCCCTTTCTTGAAATCGTTTACTGTTGAAATAATTTTGTAATTAATTTTTTAGAGACGTCTTTATCATTCTCAGAAATAGAAAAAAAATACAATGAGATCTAATTTACTATACCCAAAACTTTGCGTTCGGCCAGCTGATCCATTTACTATTAAAGTAATGTATTTGTTATGTTTTGTTTTTCAAAATATAACATACCGCAATTAATTGTCAACCGTTAAAAAGATGATTTTATTTTATCCATTACAAAAATGTTGTTGTGTGTTTTCTAATTTGGACCGTCGCGTTTTGGGCTTTGTTTTTTACATTACCTTGTTTACGAAATGTGTGAAAACGACTGTTTAACTTTCAAGCTAACTTGCAACCAGAGAAAACCAACCAGCCGGTTCGATGAACTGAAGTCAAAATTGAAAAGGAAGACTCTTCCTTTCTTTACCCCTAAAGAAGTCGTCGTGCACAACAGCGAGAATGATTGCTGGGTTAGTTTTCTGGGGATTGTGAGGGATTTGACACCTCTCGTTCGAGAATATCAGGGAACTAGAGAAGTAATGCCTGTGTTAGCGTTCGCTGGTAAAGACATTTCCCACTGGTTCGACCCCAGAACAGGAGAAATTAAGCATCACATTCATCCAGTGACCGGAGTGCGAGTGCCTTACACACCTCACGGGCCTGTCCCTCATGTACTTCCCCAGGTACCTTCCTCGGAATGGAGACCCCTGGACACTCTCCCGTGGTGGTTCGACGTGGACCTGGTCGTGGGGTATGTAACCCGCGCCGCTCGACCTATCAGGATCAACAACAAACTCACCGGGGAGGAGGTGACCTTGGAAGTCTGTTCGGAAGACACCCTGGACAGGATACTGCAGCGATACTCTATGTTCAACTCGTCAGCTACAGGGTACACGTGGAAGTACGAGACGAGAACTCTCAACTCTACATGGACCTTGGATGAGAACGGTATACCAGACATGAGGCTCAAGTTGAGACAGTTGAGACTTCCTGAAGACCTGTACGTGCCTTGTTTGATGCTATACTTTAACGATGATCATCGCGATTAAAATCATTAATTCGGACTTATTTGAAATGGATGGTTCAAAATCTACTTACGTATTCTTCAAATGATTTAATACTATTAAATTCCGATTGTTAAAGTATACTGCACTGTTTGTATGTTTGGGATGATAATATAATAAATATCGATGGTGTAAACGAGACGTATAATCTCTATTCTTGATAGAAATCTCAAATACTTTTATTTTGGCACTTGTAAAGTGGATTTAAGCTTGCGGGACTTGTGGTATTGGAATTAAACTTGAAGTCCTGCGTTCACAATCTGCCGTTTGAATCGAAAACCTATTGTTTATGTCTTGCATTAACTTTGGTGAATGCCTTTATTTAGGGGTAGATTTTTAAGGTATAAAACACATAGATTATAGTGTTTGTTTTGGTCAAACTAGTTTTCAGTTTAATGTTATTACTATTTCGTGTGCGTCTACTGCGAATTTCGTTTTACCATTGAGCTATTTAAATAAAATGGAATAAAGCAGCTGTAAAATCAATCGATAGTAGGTTTTTTGCAACGGGGGGGGGGGGGGGGGATATTTGTCAAAAGGAGTATTTTGTAATCTAATGTATTTCTTGTACTTGTATAAAATGGCACCTAAATTGTAATAAATTATTCCTTGGAACAAGGTACTTACTATACCTACAAGACCCTCTCGATACAAAATCAGCGATTATTATCCTGGTTTTAGCTTGAGGTAATATTCCGACCATCTTAGGCTCGCGCCCGGTTCTAAATCACAGGATTAGCAACAATTTCAAGCAGTAAACACACTATCTTTTATTTCATTTTATTTTATTTCGAAAACAATACACAATAAGTACCTGCGGTAAAGGAGGTACGTTGAACACGTGGTATGGTGGCGGCGTTGTGACCGTATTGATCGATCTTACGCCGGACTGTAGCCTGTAGCCCCTCTCGCGACCCACTACATTTACACCATTACATACTCTACGAACAAAAATGTAAAATATATGGGGTCTATATGTCTTTTTAACACGCAAAACCACCTTTACAAATCCAGCTAAATCCACCTAAATTATAAGCTCTATTAGATTATTCCCATTCGGATAACCTAGAGCTCTACCTCATCCCTCGTCATCTGTCTGTTTTCAACAATAACGCAAATCCCCAAGAACCGAATCAGTACAAGTAGTGCGCGAATATATTTATAGTGGTTCCTAAGCCTTATTCCTATTTCGATTTCGATCTACTTCTGCCCCTGGGTATTCAATATTTTAAAAGTTAGGCTCATGTCCCGTCGGCTGTTATTGAACCGCCACGATTTTTATGGCCGTCCCGAGATACTTGAACCGCCACGATCATTAGAGCGGATTATAAGGGTCAGTTTTGCAGGGTTGAAAAACAGTTGAACTGCCACGTGGGTTCTGCAGGTAGCGAGGGAACTTTTTGAATTATTTATCCCTCCAATTTCCCACTTAGATACAGGATGGACTAGGAGTCAAGATTCAAGGCTACTGCGAGCAAAAAACTATGTAGTTCCTAGTACAGAAACACAATGTAAGTATTAAGGATATACGTTTTCTCATAGTTCCTTCCTATTTTTATTTTTTTTAGAAACATATTACGTATTTATTTCTACGTTTGTACGTTAATTCAGTGTTTCGTGTTAGCCTCATTTTGGGCCTGAAATTCCAGCTCATACATCGACATTTTTGTGAAACCTAAGTAATGTATACAGGGGGTAAAACTTTGACTTGGTGGCACAAATAATTTTTCTTGAGGGGGTTGAAATTCCATTCCGTACAACGCCATTTCTCTGAAATCTTAGAAATATGTACAGGGGGTAAAACTTCCGGCAACCCGGAGAATTCACGCATAGTATAGACGGTGTGGTATTCGTTATATGTCTAGATTTGTACATAACTGTTAACATAAGTATGCAGTAAGCAGGTAAATTTGGTTTTTGCATAAATCCTCAAGCTTTAAATGCATTGAGGAACCATGTTTTGAGTTACATTGACCGCAATTCTTAAGTCCACAATTGTATCCATATTGTCCGTCAGCTGTAAAAATAATCACAGTTCAAAATCAGTGATACATTGATGTATAGTTGACAATGGTGAACACGATTTTTCCTACAGTCACCAGACAAAGTTGGCTTCCTTGCACTGTTTATAGTACAGAAAGCTGCTAATTGTTGAATTTACTTACTTTGTCGCACGGTTTATACTTGGTCGTACGATTTAGGCCTATACTTTGGCGCACATCAGGATTCAAACCAAACAACACAAAACAGTGTGGTTTTATTATGCTAATCCGTGTATACTTGGAAATAGCTTGGCAACACTTAAAAGATAATAATACTATGATAACTGTACTAGAGTTATTGTACTATGATAACCTGTACTAATAACTACAGTTGGTTGCTTGAATTAGGCCTATTATTGTTCCTTGAATCTTGACTCTTAGTCCATCTTATATCTAAGTGGGAAACTGGAGGGATAAACATTTCAAAAAGTTCCCTCGCTACCTGCAGAACCCCTGTGGCAGTTCAACTGTTTTTCAACCCTGCGAAGCTGACCCTTATAATCCGCACTAATGATCGTGGCGGTTCAAGTATCTCGGGACGGTCATAAAACTCGTGGCGGTTCAATATTCCCCGTCCCGTCACAAAACGCAGGTAAAGGCACTATCATATATATTTTAGGCACTACTGGTATTTTAGGTACTACTGTAGTATGTACGTTCTTTATGCATTACGAAACGGTTCATCCAACACTGTACGTTTTTGGTATACCTTTCTATATCTGGTATGATTTCTGTCTTTTTTCCCGGGGGTTCAAAGTTCTGAAAGAATGTTTTGGAATGAAAATACAGATTAGTCTCAATGTACAAAATAGAAAACTACAATGTTTACATTTGCTGTATTTTTGTTTTCAAATGTATTAAAAATTATGCTTTCGTACAGCTGACTAAAACAGTAAAACAGCATTTTTCGTAACATAAAGACCATTGATGATAGAAGCAGTTTTTCCTTCCTTCCACCACGAGTTTTTCCTATAATAATGGGTCATGTTATATATTGATAATAACTGATTTATACACTAGCATAAGTATCCTATTCTTTGACAATACCTTGTTTATATTCACGGACATACTAAAATCACGCAAAACACGAAAAAAAACTATAGAAGACTATTAGAGCTGTTTAAGGATACTATAAAACGCCCATAAATAAATGGTCTATGAAAACTTAATCTACCAACTAAGATAATTCTTAACTGATTGAAGTTTATTTTGTATGAAACCTATGTATATTGTAGGATACCTAAATTAGCTTATTCTACACTCATATATATTATATAGACTCGATTTTAGGTTTTTTACAACTCGACTCAAGGCTAACTGGACAATAGGGTTAAAATTGTACTAATATAAATATAACGTATAATATAATATAAAGAAGTATCTCTACTCCCAAGGCATCAATAGTAGAGGGGTGAATATGAATTAATGTGACAAATAAAAATCACCATACATCAGTACATCATCAGTACGGAGATGCAAGCAGGATTTGAATGAAAGATGAGCGAGTTTACTAAAATTCACAAGAATAAATATAAATCCATGGAAAAAACTAATAAAAAATGGTTCTAGTGTGCAAATATTGTACCGCTTTGTTAGCTCATTCTCGCAGCGTTGCAATGTAAATGTATTTCCAAACGTGTTTTTAAAACGAAGCTTCATTTGTAAACCCCGCCACCCCAGCGTCGCACCTCCACGATGGAACAAGCGTATGTTAATGATTGCATCGTGTTGCAGGGTATATCTACAACCCCAAGGAGGCCAGGATACGCAAGGTGCTGCGAGAACAGATTAGAGTCCGCCACCCCAGCGTCGCACCTCCACGATGGAAAAGCGTATGTTAATGATTGCATCGTGTTGCAGGGTATATCTACAACCCCAAGGAGGCCAGGATACGCAAGGTGTTGCGAGAACAGATTAAGAGTCCGCCACCCCAGCGTCGCACCTCCACGATGGAACAAGCGTCTGTTAATGATTGTGTTGTGTTGCAGGGTACATCTACAACCCCAAGGAGGCCAGGATACGCAAGGTGCTGCGAGAACAGATTAAGAGTCCGCCACCCCAGCGTCGCACCTCCACGATGGAACAAGCGTCTGTTAATGATTGTGTTGTGTTGCAGGGTATATCTACAACCCCAAGGAGGCCAGGATACGCAAGGTGCTGCGAGAACAGATTAAGAGTCCGCCACCCCAGCGTCGCACCTCCACGATGGAACAAGCGTCTGTTAATGATTGTGTTGTGTTGCAGGGTATATCTACAACCCCAAGGAGGCCAGGATACGCAAGTCGCTTCGAGAACAGATTAGAGTCCGCCACCCCAGCGTCACACCTCCACGATGGAACAAGCGTCTGTTAATGATTGCATCGTGTTGCAGGGTATATCTACAACCCCAAGGAGGCCAGGATACGCAAGGCGCTGCGAGAACAGATTAGAGTCCGCCACCCCAGCGTCACACCTCCACGATGGAACAAGCGTATGTTAATGATTGTGTCGTATTGCAGGGTATATCTACAACCCCAAGGAGACCAGGATACGCAAGGCGCTGCAAGAACAGAGTAGAGTCCGCAACCCCAGCGTCGCACCTCCACGATGGAACAAGCGTCTGTTAATCATGAATCGCCAATCTTTCGTCTCGCCTGTTGTAAGTACATTCGAAAAGCAGAATTCTTTCTATAATTTATACTAGAGAAAAGACCATAGTACTGTATTAGTCTTTGAATTTTTTTAAGTAAAACAACGACGTTTTAAGTATCAGTACGGAACTATTACCTCTTAATAGTTGAAACAATTTGAAATATACATTGAGATATTTTTTCACAGTCAAACAGTAGTATTACCAGTTATAAGGAGTGTCTTGGCGGATCATTAATTAGTCGTGTCTTGTGCAACTTTTTTGGTTGATTGGTTGGCCTTTGGTTAGGGATTTCTTACCTGAGAAAGGGACTAGGTTCAGGATCGGGTAAATTCGTAA